GAAACCTCTTACATTCGAGTGAGAGAAGATAATGGAGAATCGCGTGCTCATTCTCGTTCCCGATCACCGGTTGGTCGTGCTTCTCGAGGTTCACCGCAATATAGTCCATCTTACAGTAATAGCGGAAGTCATTCCCACTCACCTTGACTTGTGCACGTTCCTTTACTCATCACTTGTTGCGCTAACGTACCTGATCCAGTAATCTGCTGTTAATTATCCGACCTCATTCATTGTATGGACGGACATTTAAAATCAGCAAAGTATGTATGTTATTGATTGTAAAACGTATTGCTGGAGTTTTCCCACTTTTCTAGCCTCTTCATTTTCATAAGGTCTTTTAGCGCTGAGGAAACACTTCAGCAAGCCCTCACTAAACTTGTTTCATTATTTAACATCATTACGTTAAATTATATTTTATTATATCACATGCTGTGGTTTTGTTGTTGTTGAAAGAGTTCAAAATTTTACTCTGACATTTCTTGATGTAGCGATACTTACTTGATCATTTTCGTTTCTCTACGTTTATTAAAGTTCTGATTTCGATTTCGACTTATCATATATTTAAGGAATGTTTGTCCTTTGTCATCGGAATTGTGCAAGTTGTTAACTAGGTGCGTTCTATAAAATGCGTTTTTGTTGCAGTGTGAATGTTGCATCAGGGATAATTCTTAAGCACATTGGATTTATGTGGAATCGGCCTTCAGAATTATATATTTATGGATTGTTGATAAGGAAAGGATTTAGCCTTACGGACATTCATGCACAGCGCGAGTCAACTTACGGATTCAATGTGTGAGAAATTGGCTTTGTTGGCTGCTTTCGTTTGCAGGACTACACCTCACGGGATTCCTGTTTCTGTCTCTGATTGGAAGAGTTTCAAGAAGACGCTTAGAGAAGTAGTTGTTTACAGTGAGACGATTTTAGGAATACAAGTCATTGGAAACTGCAGAGCCCACATCTCATGATGCTTCAAAGAGCAACAGGTTCGATGTTGTTCAGGTAGGTCATAATTTCCCTGTAATCTTTTGCTTTTGAAAAGTAAAACCTCGCTTTTATTGGGACTCTGCAGGTTATTGCGTGAAGCGTCTTGAACGAGTTACCCTCCTAGTTTTAATACTGGCTGTTGTAACGAATACTGGACATCATTTTTTTTTATTTTTGCTGAATTAGGATTTCGCTTATTATTGTGCCACTTATTGCGATGATAGAATAAAAGTGGGAATGTTTATAAAATGAATAAAATGAACTGGGGAGAAAATGTTTTCAGACGATAGTTCTGCGTACAAAAATTTATTTTTTATTGAACTAAATGCGTCGGAAAAGTTAGCTGTTAAAGGTAGCTACTATCACATGATCGTAACCACTAAACTGCCGCTTAGTTATTAAAAAGCGCATTGCATTGGATTCCTGGGTAGTCCTATTGATAATATTTTTTTGGGTTTATCAACTGTGCTGATTATGCGTCGAGGAATTAGAATTATATTCATCTGCAAAAGTGTCAACATTTTTTGTTTGATTATTTTTCACATTTGGACACTTGATACTTTGTCTTAAATTTATGGCATCGGTTTTGCTGACCTTTGATAATGATGAAATTTTAGAGATTGAGAACGTAATATGCCTCTCACCTTAATTTGTTCGTGGATGACAAGCACTCCTAAATTTGATTCTTACATAAACGATCAACCACGTGTCAGTAGCTAAAGACTTGTGCTAGTTGGATTTCTCGAGAAAGCTTATGCCTTCCCTAATTAAACTATTGTAGATAACAAAATGTCGAGATAGCAATGACAGAATGTGTGCATTTTACACTTTACTGAAATAAATCGAGTTGCGGAAGAGAGCAAAATTTACTTATTTTTTCAAAACATTCAGGTAAACCATGAGACTCAGTTCGTTGATTCAATCCGAATTCTGAAATTCAGCTTGATGATTCAGTTTTCGGAATTAGGTCTCGCTCAACATTTCTGTATGCTGTGACTTCATAAACGTAGCATTAAACTTTTTCAGTAATATTTGCTCCTGTCATGACATGGTTAACTGAAGAAATTAGATTTGAAATGATGAATTGAAGATTGCAAATTAGTTCACATGCATGGTTATAAAGTAATTATTCATTGTTCACGAACCTTATTTCATAAATGGTTGAACATATATGTTGGTTGTGTTACACATTTTATCATTCAGTATCATTCTGTACGAGCTATCATTTCCTTTTTTCATGGTGTGTCACCAAAGTATATCATTTTCATGGTGTGTCATTATATATAATGGATCGACTCAAGTTGTTCCTTTGAATCTTCATTAGCACTATTTTAATGCAGATTTTCCTGAGGAATATATTTCCTCCTAACCTTATCTACAGTACACCTATTGCCTTCACATCGAATTAACTCTATAACCATCGAACATTGCTTTGGAATCACTTCGCATTTTCTCTTCCATGTTTTACCAGCTTCCAAGAACACATTTCATTTTAGGCGCGTTAGTTGTACCAATAATGTATTATTTTATGTGGGCTCTTCCACACGACAGAACATTTGGGATTCTGTCACACTGCTTAACTGCACATAGAAACCCACTTTCTACACTCTCTTATCGAGAATTCCAGCTTATTAAGTCTCATTTTCACTGCTACATATAATTGCTTTCGCAACGATTTTTTTTTTTTTACTAGAATCGCATTACTTTTTCGGATGTTTGCCGTGTACTTTTGCGTTTTACGCTCCCAGTTTATCAAAGATTTTTGTCTTTCGTCAATATTTTCCAAGTGCATGTTACAGTTGAAAAAGTCTTCCATAACCCAACTTGGAATTTTCAAATATAGCATTTTTCTTAAATCTTAAACTTTTTCTTAAATTTTTCTGGGATGTACGCAGATTAGTTAAAGCCATCCACCGGCTAATGTGATGGGAAGGTCCGTACTCTGCCTGGAAAATTGGAGTGAAACGTCCTTTCAATCACGTTGTTAACTTCAGGTTGTGGTAATGATATTGTCAGGATGTGTGATGCGGAAGAAAAACAATTATACATTGGTTAAAGATGCCAATATACCTAATGTTGACAATGCTCCGCAACGGTACCTTCCTCATTGCTGATTTTTTTTTTTTGATTTAAACAGATTCTAAGTGGTAACAATATTACAATTGAATCAGGCAGAAAAATTGGCATTATTTATGTAAGCACTCTCTTGTGACAGTTGCGACGCATATGCACATAGACATACACATATATATCCCACTGTCCTTGGCTATTGTGTTTTCATATTTCGATGTTTTGAAACATAGAGGTTAAGTAGATGTCACTTCACGTTGTCAAATAGCGAAATATGTTTCTTAGTGATGCTGCTTTTAATATCATAGACTACAAACAAATGCACTCATTTCAGAAGCATTGCGATGTCTTGTAATATGAAAAATTTTCTAGTCCAACGAAGAAGCCAGCAGAAGGGTGGGGTGATCGCAACGATAACACGCTTAAAAATGTTGCAACGTTGACGCATTCGAACAGTGTTACCAAATAATGATGTTTTGTTACAAAAGCATTAGTCCCAACTGAATATTGTGATCCATCTCATATCTCTCATTGTATTACTTCAACCACAAACTTCGTTGAGAATAAAATTTGAGATCTATACAGCTGAATTAAATGGAAACTTTGCACCATTTTGTTATTCACACCAACAGGTGACAGTTGACTAATTCGAACTGTTCCCCGATGACGATGTGTTGTCACAGTGGGCCGTCACATCTCTCTCAACACGTACTGTGATCATGTTTCATAAGTATTTCACGCCAGGAGTTGGAAACGTAGTGATGACCAATACGCGGAATGCTAGCAAAAGAAGAGAAAAGAGAGTGAGCAGGTGGGAAGAATTACCAGTTCTCCAGACTCTTGTGGTATAGAAATGTACATAAAAATGATTCATTTATTGCGCTTCAAAAATTTTGATTGAGGAGACCTCTACAGCTCTGTTTTCTCCTCCTTTCTACTTCACAATTACAGCACCTCTCTCACTCTTTCTCCTGTTCAATTTCGCGTCTTTTTATCGAGTCTGAGCCGCAGTGGTTCATCGGATTAGATCCATTTCCATTTCAGGGTAAAAAATGATTTTACGACCTCTTTAGCTTGACCATCACATTAGCGGGATTTTTCTTTTCGAACGCAAGCGTGACAGCAATCCAAGAGTCTTCCCTTATAAATCTTCCATTCTGTACCTATTTCTATGAAATTATATTACGAAAACAGGTTTGCCGCAAAATTGCTTCCTCCGCACTCGAAAATTGTTGTGATATAAGGGAGTCTTGTAAACATCATTTTGATTTTACTATTAGGCCACCAGCTGCACATTCAAGCTGGCTTACTGTGTTATTTATTCCAAAATCATTTCCGGAAATCACCAACGCCGTATGTTTTCTCTGTTGTTTAATTTAATATCTATTTTTTTAATTGAGATGTGCGTGATCAAAAAACGTGCAATTTTCCTAGGAATAGACATCAAATTAAGCAGGGAACTTGTTTACTTCTTTAAGATGAAAAAAATTTACTACACCTTTCAGTTTTTCCTACGAAATAATGACCCAGTCCTATGCTTTGAAACCATTACGCTTGTCTTTGTTCTATAGCCATTACTGCAGTGAGAGTGCCAAATGCATATGAGTCACCAATCAACTTTCCCAATAGCTCATATTTAACCACAGAGTTGAAACTTTCAATTTATTTAAATTCCATTTACAAAACAGTGAGAAGTGAGGGAAGGGAAGAAGCGCATTTATTCTGGCAATCAGAATTACCAAAAATTTTCCATTACAACGGGTATGAATGAATCACACCCCCAAATAGATACAGCCAATAGATAAAATTCCCTTCATACATATATTTTCCTACAACATTAACTATAAAATGATTGCATCATCCTATATATATATATATATATATATATATATATATATATATATATATATATATATATATATATATATATATATATAT